GAGTCTCAGAAACCATTTCTCCATATTGATAGCATAATTTATAGTCATAGGATTGCTCTACATCTTCACTTCTGTACAAGGGAAAGAAAAAGCCAACCAATTATATTAAATCATGTCTTTTAGTAATGATTCACCATGAGATCTGGTTTGTTACCTCTTAAAAGTATTTAATTATCCACACAGTGTACACTATGCATGATGGCTGTTACCCAAAACAGTAGGATCTATCTGGAAGTTTGTAATCGACCCACTGCCAATACACAAAGCTTTCCTTTTGAGGAACCGTATTGCATCTTAATGAACCATGCCCCATGTACTGATGATGTCTGATCCCTTTTCCTCCATGGCTCCGTTCCTCCTCTTCCACTGAGCCTCTTCACCCACTCTGCAATGTTGGCTCTTTTTGATCCTCTCTGCTCTATTTAGTCCTTAATTCATGTTGTGGGATTCCAACATAAAATAGAATTTGCAATACTGAAATTTCTGCCTGACTTATTTGACCTCACATTATGGGCTCTAGAACCATCCGCACTTCAGCAAGTATCATAAGGTTCATTTGTGGATGACACTATTCCCTTACATATGCACACTACAGGTTTTCAGTGCTGGAAATTAAACCCAGGGTCTTAGCATGATATACATCCACATATTGTTTTATTTTTAATTTGAAGCGGCCTCATCAATCATAAAGTTGCACAATAAGCATGAATTCATGACCTTCCTGCTTCAACTTCATAGAGTCCTATAATTCTAAACATGTCTATGTAGGCCTAGGCTCTCCTATATTTCCTTAATCAACCCATCTATGACTGGGCATTTAGGCTTTTCCAGATCTTATCTTTTTATGGGGTCTTCTAGTTAGCTCAGTTGTTTAAGTGCCTGCTTATACAAACGCAGTCAGATGCAGGATACCGCAGTTCAATCCCGAGCTCCACATGCCTTACCAGACCTGTCCTTAAGGCAGACTGAACCAGCCAAAAAAAATCCTTCTCAATTTCTAGGGCTGGCCAAATAGCTCAGTGGATTAAAGCACCTGCAAGCAGGCACAGAGGCCGAGGCTCAATCCCTGGGCCTGCCATGCCAGCCCCACCCCTGGGGCACACTGAAATGGAAATTGAGACTGAGTGTGGTAGGGCGAGCCTGTAATCCCAGCTCTTGGGAGGGTGTAAACAGGCGGATCACTACAGTCCGATCTAATAGTCAGACCCTGAACACCCTGTAAACCCTTCCCTAAAATACAAAAAAAAACCCAAAACATACCTTATCTTTTCTAAGCTGTGCTACTACAAATAGGTATTTAAGTACCACTCTGATGCTTATTTTCACATTGTGGGGAATCCACGTCGGAAATGTACAGCAGGATATTGCTGGGGATAGGGGCACATGCCTGTTATCTCATCCTGTGGGAGACGGGCAGGAGCATCACAGTGAGCTTGAGGCCAGCATGGGCTGCACAGTGACATCACGTCTCAAAAAATAATTGCAGGTGCATAAAGCAAGATGTCTATTTTTCATTTTCTGTAAAATCTCTATATTAAAAAAAAAAATCTCTATATTCATGTCCATAGATGCTGACAGCCTCACTAATAACCTGGACTCTGCCTTCTAATAATCTGGAAAATGAATGAACTTTGGTATTTGGAGGATTGCTTGAAAATAACTGATCAAAACAGTGGTATTAGGGCTGGCCAAATGCTCAGCGGACAAAAGCACCTGCTTAGAGTACAGTGGCTGGGGTTCAACCTCCAGAGGACCCTGTCAGCCCCGCCCCCGGGGCATGCTGAGACTGAGACTGGGAGTGGTGGCCCACACTTGCAATCCCAGCACTTGGAAGGCTAAAAACAGAGAATCACTACAAGTCCCATCTACGTAGTGAGGACCTGTAGACCTTGTACTAAATTTAAAAAAAAAAAAAAAAAAAGTGGTATTCACTGGGATCTCAAATACAGCAACAGCATTAGCAATTTTTCAAACACTGAATGTGTACACCACATTGAACTATATATGTAATATCACACAGAATTTGTTTGATATAAAAGTGGCTTTTTCAAACCATGCATACAGAATGAGAAGTTAGCTCTCATAGATACACAAAATTTCTTTTATAGCTTCATGTCCTCAACACTTGCATGCAATTTCATTCAACATGTCCATAAACCTGAGCATAGAACAAAATTTGTACTTTTTCTCTTTAAAGTTCAGACAGGGTTTCACCCTGCATTTAAGGCCAGTTTTCAGCTTAGTGTGGCCCAGTCTGCCCTGGAACTTGTGGATATCTTCCTGCCTCAGCCTCCAGAGTGCTGGGATAACAGGCAAGCACCAACTCACCTGGCTGATCATTCTATTACATTGCATTACCTCAAAGATGTCAGTTTTGGCATAATATGACTACAACCTACTTTGACATATTCAAATATTTCAGGTATTCAACTGTCAGATTAGATATTCAATGGGTCTATTTCCACTGAGAAATTCTATGAGATTAAAGAAGTATGAACACAGTCCTGCTTGTGTAATCTGGTTTGGTTTAATATTTGGAATTTTCTTCTCTAAGTCCAAATTACCTTAGATGCTTACTGCAATTTCTGTAGGTATCTTCAATTTGTTGGTAATCTGAGTTCTTTCCTACAGTGTAGAAACAGAAATACAATGATGATTTTCTGTATTATATAAAAATAAGTAGACTCTTGTTTGATTCACAATAATACGTGATCATGCCTGGAACAGGCCTCCAGCTTCCCATTAGGTGAACTGCACTGCTGAGCATCACCCACGATCTGGGCTCATGAATGAGAAAACGGTACCGTCCTCACCTACGGCGGCCAGGTTCCTAAAGGTCTCCCACATCACATCTCCATAGAGCTTCTTTTGGGATGGATCCAGCAGCGCCCACTCCTCCCTGGAGAAGTTCACAGCCACGTCTTCGAAGGTCACCGCCTCCTACACCGTCAGACATGCATTGCAAGAAAAGTGAGGTCGATGACACAACACATCTCAACGCTCCTCATTAAAGGCGCATTCGAGGCTGACTTTTGCGAATGCGCACTCTGTCTTGGTCAGTACGCCCTTCTTCTCGTCCAGTTGCACTCTTTACACAGGAAGTTTGCGTCTAGGCTGGAATTCAGCGCTAAAGGGGCAGCGGAACAAGAACTCTGCTCCTCCTACTAGGTCAACCCAGGTCTACTTGGACACACTCACTAGAGCAACATAGGAGGAGGCCACAAATCAGAATTCAATAAAAACAAACTGGAGGTATATCTTCTGAATTACAAAGAAAGTATCTTTTTTTATTCCTCTCAACTTGTTATTTCAGAAATAGATCCCTTCCTTCTCTCACTCTATGTACAAACATTTTGAAACTTCAAAGTGCTTTCACAGGCAAAAACTTAATTGAACACTAAGCTAATGCATGAATGATAACTTGCAAAGCTGATGAAAACAATTACACTTTCTATCAGAGAATGTCGGAGAACCGGGAAATGGGATTAAGAAGTCGTGTTTGCCTACGTCCCAGTGACCCGAGAGGTGGCATAAGGGGGCGAAACGGGGATGCACAGAATGGAAATATATACGCAATGCCCTGATCGCCAAGACTGTGCCAACGCCGCAGGCACTGACAGCGAAGGAAAAACCAGCAAGGTCTGCCAAGCACCACACACAGCGCCCGTGTGGCAGCATCTTTACAACACACACTCTCATCCGAATCCACTCTGCAGGGCCCGGCTCTGTTAACAGAACGACAAACAGACCACAGGGAAGCAAGAGGGTCTTCAGTGGGCTCCCACGCAAGTAGAATATGTCTTGGCTTTTTTTCTCATTGCTGAGACAAAATACCCAACACCCCAATTTAAGGGAAGAAAAGGTTACCTAGATTCATGGCAATTTCATACATGATGGGCTCCGACGCCAGGCGGCCTGACAGAGGAACACCAGAGGAGAAACAGCCATGGCAGGCAGCAGGCAGCTAGGCAGCTAGGCAGCGAGCAGCACGAAGAAAGCGACAACAGCAACCCTCTCTGCCCTCTACACGTTCTCCTGGGCAGTAGCACTGACACCCCTAACCCTAGCACTGCACCATGAACCAAACCCAGCCTCATATTTTAGACATTTCCGTGTCTGAAAAACTGCACCTAAGAGAGCGTGAGGCTTTGGGGGCACACGTAGATACAAGTTATAAAGGAATACTGACTCACATTAGAGCTCTGAGGTCACCAAGTGACTCAAACCACAATCTGCTCAATATGGCAGGCAGAGAGCCGCAGTACCTTGGTGTCCCTATGTCTTGTGTGAGAATGCTATTACCTCTTCAAAAGGGAAAGATAATCTTAAATACTGAGAAGTCACAGAGAAATACACAGCGTTTCCCCAGAGAAAAAGCATGACGCTACCAGAATGAGAGGGAGAAAAATCTCCATAAATCCCGGGAGGGGAAAGGGTCACGGAATGGGGGCGAATGCAGTGCATGCCAAAAGAATTTGTACGCCGAGGAAAAGATAAACACATAAGAAGTAAGAGTAAACCATAAAAACTGGAGCCGGGGAGACAGCCTGGCAGTCTACGCTCCTGCCTGGCAAGCACAAGGATCCAGGTTCGATCTGAGCTGGCCACTGAATCCAGATGTGCTGCCACATGTCTGTAATCCCAGCACTGGGGAGGCTGAGGCAGGATGATCACTATGGGTCTGAGCTACATAGCAAGACCCTGCACCAAATAAATAAATAAATAGGGCCAGAGTCAGATAGCTCAGCAGACTGATGCAACTGCTTGATCCCCAGCGTGCTGTGCCAACCCCATCCCTGGGGCACGCTGAGACAGCGAATGAGACTGGGCATGGTGGCACGCACCTGTAATCCCAGTGCTTGGGAGGCTGAAAACAGGAGAATTACTACGAGTCAGACCTGTGTAGTGAGACCCTCTGTATGAAATACATAAAAATATAAATAATTTTTAAGGAATTTTTAAAATATATATAAACTAAAAGAGAAAATACCAAAAGAAAAACAATAATGATAAAAAGTAAAAGGGAGGGAGAAAGAGGGTAAGGGAGGGAGGAAGAGAAAGAGACAAAGAGAACAGAAAGAAAACAAGATCCACGACTCAGATGAGGAAATGGGGGAGGAGTGGAATTGTGGAAAGACACGATTAGTAAGAGGACTAATCTATAAAAACAAGGGAGTCACATGGCATACTCCACAGCCGTGTCCCCACTGTGGCACATTCTAACATCTACACACTGATGTTAGAATCATTCCAATTTCAGAAAATACGAATGTTGTTTCTAGAGAGAAATGTGACACTTTTCACATATAGGAAGAAATACATTTACAAACACTTCAACCATTCAGACAGTAGAACTGAGAAGGAACCACTCTGCTCTGACAGAAATACCAGCCTGTAGGAAACAGCGAGACCAACAAGATACACAGAACGCTCTTCTATACCACTACGACAGAATTCACTTAAGGACTATTTCAAAGTGGCAAAACTAAAAGCACACCAAAAGGGTCACTAAAAGTCAAACTACACACTAAGTACCTCAGCACTGCATGGTGAACAGGACAGTGTCACCCACAGTGAAGACAAGGATGAGCCTCACAGGCTTTCCCTGGATGCTCTTGACCCTGCCCAGGGCTCAGCTGCAAACTTTCTGAGGGTCCCTGTGATACTTCAAAGGTTATGATGGTGAAATCGCACCCAAGCTTTTCTGAGAATAAACTTAATTGCAAAGCTTTATAAATCCTAAATTGCCATGTGGAAGGAAACTTAATTTATGCTGCCTGCACACATTCTGACGTGGGACCCTGAGCGGTCATTTACAGCGCGGGCACAGCTAAAAAAGCAGCACAGGTGCAGACGAGAGCCCCGCAGACGCCCCGCAAGCAGGGCACAGACTGCTCGAGGGACACCAGGAGGCAGGGGAGACCTCAGAGGAGGACGAGGCGGCCGTTCAGGCTCATGGCGGATGCACCTCCTGCCTGTGCTGCAGGGGCCTATGGACCCCGAGGGAAGCGGCTGTCATGGTCACACTTGGGAACCAGGGTACAGAGACCCTGCGGAACATCCCTTACACACCCAGGACTCCGTAGATTAGAGCAGGGCTCTGCGCCTCGGGCCACGGGCGCTACAAGAGTCAAGAAAGAAGCACAGAAATCCCCTCCTAGACCTCAGTGCGGCTGGGAAAGTTTACACTTCTAACTGCATGGAAAAGTTACTGGAGTTCCAGTGAGTTAATCACAGTCTACCATACCCAATGCAACACATGCAAAAATAAACACGCTCGGCACACTGACAGCTGTAGGGGCCAGGCATCCTCAGACCAGCGAGGATGATGGGAACTGGAATAAAGGCCTCAACCCAGGCCCAAACCCAGGTTTTTATCAATTCAGGAAGAGGGGAGTGGCTCAGGAACGTGTGCCTGTAAGAGCCCGCTAGGTACAGCCCTGAGAGGGCTTCTCCGATGTGCAGAGAAGGACGTGCGCGAGTAATCTGGTAACACAACTTGAGGTGGTATCCAGTGATTTCGGGTTGGAGCTTCAGCTCTGACAGGTAAGTTTTTATGCCCTGGAAATCACAGCATCTTCTATTATCTCTGTGTGTGTGTGTGTGTGTGTGTGTGTGTGTCTGTCTGTCTGTCTGTCTGTCTGTCCCCTGCCCCCAAAACTCAAGACTCAGGACCTTGTGCTTGCCAGACAAGCTCTTACACAACTCAGCTCTCTCCCCTACCCCCACACCCTCTGTCCCCAGCCCCATAGCCTCAGAGCCCTACACCCTCTCCCCAGCCCCACAGCCGCGTGCCCCACACCCTCTGTCCCCAGCCCCACAGCCTCTTATCTCAAGCCTGTACCCCAGCCAACAGCATGGCCCATGGCTGTCCGCCCTCCCCCGGCTCAACGTCTGCACAAGAGCCTATGCTGCCCGGCCACCTTGCATTGAGAGTTCACAGCAGCAGCTCAGCCAGGTCCATGTGCACCGCTTATAACCAACTGAAAGGAGAAGTCCTAGCCAGCTGCGCACACGGCACATGGAAACAGCGTCAGGCACACCAACACAGGCGCCAACTGCTCTCCTAGCTACGAGACTCGTCCACAGGACCTGGCCTGAGAAGTTACTGAGAGCAGCAGGACACACACCTGAAGCTCATGCTATGGCAGAAATTTGGGCAGTGCGGTATCTGTCAGGTCCACAGCTGGGAACATTTAGTCTTTTGGTCACAGCATCCTCAACAGGCACATAAAGTGATAAGTGCTGAGGGTGAAACGTTGTCACTGAAGAATCTCATGGTGAAATCCTGCACGGCCACGTTCCAAATCACCCAGAAGTACACAGGAGGAGGAAGGCTTTCTTCTCAACAGTAAAACACAAGTTTACTTACAATCTACACCCCTTGCAGACTGAATTGCAGCATGAAGAGGTGGACCTGCAGAACGCTTACGTGCCCCAGCGCACCAGGACACAAGTGTGAGAGGTACTATTTGTTGGGAATCCACACCCTGAAAGTGAGTTTTACCTCAATGAGGTCAGCCGGGTTCCAGGGCTATGCAGAAAAAACTGCTTCTACATCTGAGAGGGGGGTGCAGAACAAACCCATATTGAAGAGTGTCTTGAAAAAGCAAGATCGAGGGGCCGGGGAGATGGCTCAGTAGAATAAGCGTTTGCCTGCCAAGCGCAAGGGCCTGAGTTCAATCCCTGGTTCCACCAAAAAAAAAAAGGAAAAGTAAGATCCAAGAGAAAGCTGTGCATTTTTACCCTGAGCACTGGCCCTTCTCCCATCATCCCTGCTGAATAAAGTCCCAGCCTACTCTGCACCTAATGACTGTCATGATTGATTGATTGATTGA